ACTTCCCTATCTGGGTCCATATCTGGTTGCTCCGTCCTGTGTTCTAGTGGTGTGTTGTTATCTGATGTTAATTGATTTTCTAACCAGAGGACTCCCTTTAGTATTTCTTGTAATTTTCGTTTGGTTTTTGCAAATCCCCTAAACTTCTGTTTATCTGGAAGTGCCCTAATTTTGCCATCATATTTGAGAGACAGTTTTGCTGGATATATAAATCTTGGCTGGCAGTTTTTTTCCTTTAAGGCTTCATATATGTAACCCCATTGCCTTCTTGCCTGCCTGGTTTCTGCTTAGTAGTCTGAGCTTATTCTTATCGATTCCCCTTTGTAGATGACTTTTCGTTTATCAAAATTTATTATACCTAAGAATCACCTAGGGATCTTGTTAAAATATAGATTCTGATTCAGTATATCTGAGGTGGAAATGCAAATTCTCAGCGGGGGTTCAAACTGGTCCAAAGCCCTGATTACAGTCCCTTAGCTTTAGAAACAAGGACACTGAAGCTCACTGTCATGGACTGAATTGTGTCTCCCAAAAATGTGTGTCAACTTGGCTAGGCCATGAGTCCCAGTATTCCCAGTTGTCCTCCATTTTGTGATCTGATGTTATTATCCTATGTGTTTTAAATCCTAACCTCTATGATAATGAGGCAGGACTAGAGGAAGTTATGTTTATGAGGCAGGACACAGTCTACAGGTTGTATCTTGAGTCAGTCTCTTTTGAGACATAAAAGAATTGAACACAGAGGAGAGGGACCTCCTACCATCACGAATGAAGAGTTGGGAGCGGAGCGCTTCCTTTGGACCCAGGGTCCCTGTCCTAGACACAGGGAGATTGATGACAAGGATCTTCCCCTAAAGCCATCAGAGAGAGAAAGCCTTCCACTGGAGCTGGTGCCCTGAATTTGAACTTCTAGCCTGCTAGACTGTGAGAAAATAAGTTTCTGTTAGTTAAAACCACCCACTTGTGGTATTCTTGTTGTAGCAGTACTAGATAACTAACATACCCAGAGACCCCGTGGATTTGCCAAGGGAACTGGAAGTAAAACTGCATTTTGAGGTCTCTTGTCCAGTGTTAGGTTCCAGAGCCCTGGGGAGTTCCTCATGTCTGAGAACCACGGTGTGCAGGCTCTCTCCACCTTCTGCTAGATGCCTCTACTGAACACACACCTCAGTTGTTAGCAAATTGACTTCTTATGGGGACTATAGCTGGATTAACCAACTACCTCCTTGGAAACCTAGGAAGAACCATGCAGCACTACATGTGAAGTAATATTCTACCTTAGAGGGAAAGGAGAGAGAAACTGTGAACATATTTTAAAAGGATTTTGAAGATAATGTGTGATCAGAATTTGCTGTGCCTCATGGGAAAATATAGTTGCTTTGGATATTGGGAACTAGCAGATGCCCGCTCCCTCTGGTGCCCACAGTGGGGCCTGGGGAAGCTGGGGGTCAGAGTTCTTGATCTGTGACCTTCTCTGGTCGTTCCCGAACTCCCAAGGCTGTCAGCTGTACAAGTAAGTCAAGAGGCTTGAAATGATGGGTCAGATCAGAGTCTCTTGAAACATACTTTTCCAGGTAAATGTGGTATCATGGATTGAATTGTGTCCCCAAAAAATATGTGTCAAGTTTGCTAGGCTTTGATTTCCCAGTATTGTGTGGTTTTCCTCCATTTTGTGATCTGATGTGATTTTCCTATGTGTTGTAATTCCTAATTTCTGCCTGTGATTAATGATTAGGTTCTGTTAAAGAGGATTGGGGTGGGATGCTACACCCTTACTCAGGTCACATCCCTGATCCAGTGTTAGGGGAGTTTCCCTGCGTTGTGGCCTGCATCGCCTTTATCTCACAAGAGATTAAAAGAAGAGAGAAGTGGGCAGAGAGATAGGGACCTCATACCACCAAGAAAGAAGCACCGGGAGCAGAGTGCATCCTTTAGACCTGGGATCACTGTGCTGAAAAGCTCCTAGACCAGGGGAAGACTGATGACAAGGACCTTCCCCCAGAACCGACAGAGAAAGTCTTCCCTGGGAGCTGGCACCGTGAATTTGGACTTCTCGGCTCCTAAACTGTGAGAGAGTGAACTTCTGTTTGTTAAAGCCATCCACTGTGGTATTTCTGTTATAGCAGCGCTAGATAATTAAGGCTTCTGGTGTCCTACTTCCTGAAAACGGGCTGAAGGACAAGCAGCAAAGTGAGTGTTTGCATTGCCGCCATCTTCCTGGCCTGAGCTGTGCGTCCTTAGGTCTGCAGTGGTAGGACTGACTGGCCCACCCACTCGCTCACTCCCACGAGTCCCACCTTCTCCCTCATGTTCCCAGCTGAGAAGACCTCTGACCCTTGGGTGAGAAGGAGAGCTCAGGTGATCTGTAGGGCAGATGTGTTGCCTCTCCATGATATGTGAAAAGGTGAAGTCACCAGCCGCATTGCACTGTGTCCTTCAGGATGGTCAGTGGAGACTTTGGTCCTTGGAGGAGCTACTGTTTGTCACAGGGAGATAAGGCCCAGATGTCAGGTGTACACCTTTGTGTGTATCTGGTTCCTAGGGTTTAAACCATGGCCAGGTTGATTGGAAGTTGGAGTAGTTGCAGCTGTCTGTCCTGATAGGGGTTTGGGGAAGACAGACATACCTAGACATGCACATGGAAACATAGACTACTGAGCACTCTGCTGCCTTGATCTCAGCTGTTGAGTCCCATGGCTCCACCTGAGGTCCCCAGGAGACAGAGCTGGAGGGCAGGCCAGGGATGCCAGCTGTGCCAAACCCCACCCTCTCTGGCAGGGGCCCCTGGATGGCTGCCGCAGTGTTCTGTGTTTGAACTATGTACATATTCGTTTCTGTTTTGTTTCTTTGAATGGGTTTTAAGTTTGTGAGACTGGCCCATTTTGTTGCATTTAGCTGTGGAGCATTCATGTTCCTTGCTGTGTAGTGTCCTGTTGTTTGACTATACCACAGTTTTGATGCATTCTGTTGTTGACAGATATTTGAGTTGCTTCCAGTTTTAAATGACTATGAACTGAGCTGCTGTGAGCATTATTGTACATGTCTCTTGGTACATTTGAGCAACAGTTGCTCTACGGGGCATGCCTACAAGTGGCATTGCTGGGTTGTAGGACATGTGTGTCTTCGGCTTTACTAAACAGTGCCAGACTGTTTTCCAGAGCAGATGACCCAGTTTTCCCTCCCACTAGCAGGGTACAAGGTTCCCACTGTCCCACATCCATTTCTCAATTACTTGAGTTACTAATGAGGTTGAACACTGTGTGTGTGTTCACTGGCATTTGGATTTCACCTTTTGTGAAGGGCCTATTCCTGAGACCATTTTTATACCATGTCTCTGTCTTTCTTACTGATTTGTAGGAATACTTGATCTATCCTGAAAGCTAGAAATTTGCAGGGGCTGTATTTAAAAACAGTTGTTCCAGGCAGGCACCAGGAATAGAAGCAGAGCATCTCACTTGACTCCTCTCTTTCTTTCTGTCCCAGCGTCGTACTTGCCCTGGCCTGAGGAGTGTCTCCCACACGTCTCACCCCTTTCCTGTCCTCTTCTCCCTCTGAAGAGCTTGTCATCCTGGCCTGGAATTGTCCCTGCAATCTACTACAGGCAGTCCCCGGGTTATAAACATCCAACTTAAGTACAACCCGTAGTTACGAACCAACCCCTGTAAAGCCTATTAAAAATTCAAAGTGCTGCTTTGCGATGTGCATCCAAACGTTATTATTACTGTGTTATGTTAAAGATGTTTTAGTGTATCTTGAAGTGTTTCTTTAATGTTTTTTATGCACAGAAATGTACAATATATGCTATATACTAAGACAAACATTTGACTGATGTTAGATACGAACTGTACTTAACTGTTCCAGCTTATGTACAAATTAAACTTAAAGATGACTTAGAAATGGAACTAGTTCATAATCCAGGGACTACCTGTACTTCTCTTCCCTCTAGACAGCAATTCATACACATCACAGAGACCCCTTTTGTAACTAAGCCCCTCTTCTTACCTGCTCACTCCTCTCCCCCCAATGAAGAATCACTAACTGGGAGGGGGGAAGCATAGTTACTGATGTGTGAGGGTTTCGCAAGAACCCTGGCTCTGTATTTCTTTCCCTTTCTGTTGTTTGTTTTATCTTTAGCAAACTTCCCCATGTCTCTACCACTAGCACCCAGGCAGCTCACTGCCTGTGGGGTCACATCCAGGCTCTTCACCTGAGCATTCAAGGCCCTCTACCGTCTGATCCCCTCTTGCTTTCCTGACGCTCTTAATCTTGAATCTGGACTCCATTAAAGAGATTCTAAGCTCCATAAAGGCAGGATGATAATGATATGCGCTTAACTGCCTCAGTAACAATGTTAATTGTTGAATAAAATTAATCACTTTAAGGGCAAGAGACCAGACTGGACAATAATACTAATCTCCATGTTTTTGTTTTACTGTATTTTGGTTATCTATTACCGTGTGGGGGGCGGTGAGGAGAAGCAAAATTTAGTGGCTCATGAATCTGTGATTTGGGCAGGGCTTGGCAGGGATGGCTCACCTCTACTTGCACAGATTGAGCTGTTGCAACTTGACTGAGGTTAGAGGACACAATTCCAGAATGGCTAACTCACGCTTGGAAAGTTTGTGCTGGCTATCAACTGGGAGCTCAGCTGGGCTGTTAGCCACACCACTGGCAGGGCTTGGTTCTTTCTCCTGTGAGTCTCTCCACAGGGCTGCTTGGGCTTCCTTATAACATGGATCTGACTTCCAAGAGCAAGTGTTCCAAGAAAGTGGAAGTTGCTTATCTCTTAGGACCTGGGCTCAGAAACTGGAACAGCAGCATGTCTACTGTGTTCTGTTGGTCAAAGCTGTCACAGAGCCCCTTCCCCCTGCCTCCAGGCTTAAGAGGGGAGGAACGTAGACCTCCACCTCTCAATAGGAAGAGCTTCAAAGAATTTGTGGTCATCTTTCATCCACCACATACTAACAGAGACTCCTTCCTTTCCCCTGGCTTTCCTTTAGCTCTCACTGCTGCTGCAGGAAGAGGGAAGCTGGAGGTCTGTGAGCTGCTGCTGGAGCACGGAGCTGTCGTGTCTCGGACTAACAGGCGAGGGGTCCCACCTTTGTTTTGTGCAGCACGGCAGGGGCATTGGCAGGTACCGTGTGGGCCCCTGAATGCTTCAGAAACAATGAGTGGGGATAAATGTCACTACTGCCCATCTCCCCTGAGATCATATGTGGCCAGATCCCAGATCCCCTTAGCCCTGTCTGTCATCTTTCACATCTTGGCTTCTGCTTTTACCATCAGTCCTACTGGATAAAGGCAAACGTTTGATGGAAGAGCACACGGTCAACATACCCGTTGCCGTTGAGTCGATTCTGACTCAGAGAGACCCAGCAGGACAGAGTAGAACTGCCCCATAGGTTGTAGAACTGCCTCATAGGTTTCCAGTGAGCGACTGGTGGATTCAAACTGCCGACTTTTTGGTTAGCAGCCAATCGCTTAACCACTGTGCTACCAGGGCTCCCACAGTTAGCATATAGGCTAAGATATAAGACTGGCAATCAGGCCATAGCTGCACAGCTGCTTCATGTTAACCTGGGAGTGCCCTAAGATACTGGGGAGGGGAAGTGAGTGGGTGGACCCCATCATGAGAATAGATTCGCTGTCACATGGTTATTGTTGTTACCTTGTAATCCATTCATCTAACATACTTAGAAGAGCAGTTCTGTTACTCTGTTTCGAAGTGGAAACATTTTCCCTCTGATTTAGCCCTGTGATTCAGGTTGGTATTTACTATGGCTGACATGTTGCCTTTAATCCAAGGGAGCAGAGGATTGGTCATTTAAAAGCAGCAGTTCATTTATTCATTCATTCCTTCACTTTGTAAACCATGACCATGTACCTACCTCACAACTGACACTGGGTTACACACAGACTACAGATAAATGGATCTGACAGTATCCACTCTAGTCAAGAGTTTTCTAGACCAAAGTTACATAATGGAATGGCGTTTCTCCCCTTTCCTACTAGCTCCATTGATGGAGATACAGGACTCCCCACCAAGATTTTGACTTTTCTCCCAACATTTTCCTTTCTGTTTCCAAGAGCTTGGTTCCAGAGAGGGGTTTGCCCTATAAGTTCCCTGTCACCCTCACAGCTTCTACCTTGATACCCTTGCTAATCTCTCTCCTGGTCTCAGTGTTTCCTTAGTCATGGGGAAGTTTGGAAAGCACTTGTTAGTGCATAAAGAACAAAAAAGCAATGGGAATATGCCCCCTTCTGTTCTTGCGGGCAATAGAACAAACACTGTGGCAGAGAACTTTGGACAGTGCCCTTGAAGAAAGCAGTGCTCACGGGGTGGTGGTTATATGAGATGTCTCTCTGGGTTTTTTTTGTTTTTGTTTTTTCCTCCAACTTTAGCGCCATGTTCTGTTTAAAGGCATTCCCCTGAGGCTGAGAATCTCCTTTAGGAAACTTCGCTAAAAATTGCCCTCTGTAAAGCTCAAGCCATCCTCCGAGCCCTGAATCTTATAAAAGCAGATTGCGTAGGGGTGGAGTGCCACCCCCTGCCCCATGCCCTTATCCCACACTTCCTTAGCTTCATCTCCAGCCTGGGACCCAAATGACCCTTGCTTGATTCCCCCATGCCCCCGCCCCGGCCCCAGTTATGCTTCCCATATCCCCGAGTGGGGCTGTGCTGTCATTAACCTGATTGTGGTCACCATTTCCTTCCAAGATGACTTTTCCTGCCTGGTGTGTGCATGTTTTGTAGACCTAGTAATAAACTGGGCCATGAAAATAAAAAGCAGGTGTATGGAAAAAGATGCTGTTCACAAGAAGACAAAGAAGAGGGTTGTTTTGCTGCTTTTAAAGGCAGAGAAACCCAACGGGGTGCAGAGCACGGTTTGGAATGTAGTGGGAAGGTTGTGACTCTTTCTTTCAGATTGTGAGATTGCTCCTGGAGTGCGGCTGTGACGTGAACCTGAGTGACAAGCAGGGACGGACGCCCCTCATGGTGGCTGCGTGTGAAGGGCACTTGAGCACCGTGGAATTTCTCCTTTCAAAAGGTAGCCACACATCAGCCCTGCCTGTGTTTCTTTTGGATGGATGAAGAAAAGAGTTTTGGCAGTCCCGTTAAGTACTTTCTGATTCACATTTTTAAAATCTCTTTGTCGTGGGAATTTTTGAACATGCACAAAAGTAGGCTAGGTAGTGAACCCCCACGTACCCATTATTCAGCTTCAACCATGGTGATCAATTTTTTGTTTTGTTTTTTGTCAGCCGGCTTCAGATTTCAGTGATTGATTGACACACTGTTCAGGCCAGGTATTTGCGGGTGTGAAATGGTTTGTGGATGGGCTTTTCTTTCAGGTGCTGCCCTTTCTTCTCTGGACAAAGAGGGTCTGTCCGCATTAAGCTGGGCTTGTCTGAAAGGTCATAGGACAGTGGTCCAGTATCTAGTCGAAGAAGGAGCCTCAATTGACCAGACAGACAAGAACGGCCGCACTCCCTTGGACCTCGCAGCCTTCTATGGGGATGCAGAGACAGTAAGTGCCGACAGATGTTCACCTTCCTCCAACTGCACGCCCAGGGCCAGCGTCACAAACACTTCCCAAGAACTGGACAATTTCCCAAGTGTGTGTGAGGTGTGCTTAAGTGTGGTCACTGTGTTTGTGTGTTGTGGGGGACCTCTCGTTTTCCACTCATTCCATGACACACAGCCTATTCCAGGACTGTAGTAAAGATTTTAACAGGCTCTTAAAATTTTAAAAGCCGTGATTCTAAACTGCATATGCAACAGAAATGTATATGTGAATATGTAAACATGTGAGCATATGTGGTTTTATTTTATCATAGTAATCTGTATAAGTAAAATACTGTATAGATCACTTAAAAATCACTCTCATATATGAGAAATAATCAAATAGTTGGTTTGCTTTTAAAGCAGTTGGCAGTGTCAATACATGATATAAAATGCTTCAGGGACCATCTTTATCTCTTTACCAAATGCCCAAGTCTAATCAATGTGTGAAGAGGTAAAACCTTAATAAACGAAGAACTACATAATGTCTTCCAGGGCAGAAACATGTCTTTGTCATGCTCCACATCCCAGGAGCCCAGGAGGTGCTAGAGAAATACTGTTACTTGAGAGTTTGCATTGTTGAATAGTTCACTATGTCTGATATGTGGAATAGCTAAGGAGGCAAGTACTGTGCTACTGGGAGCTGTGACCCTTGGAGAAAAAGCTGTGCCCCTGCATATCTGGGCCTTGGTGCTTTCACAGGCCCTGGTGCTAGAGTTAAATGGTATCAGTTTCCTATACCTTGTCTACTGTACTTCATGTTGATTTGCAGAAACAGATATTTAATTAAATCTCACATACCCACACACTTTTGTTTTTCAGCTTATCCTGTCTTGCCACATTCCGTAGTTTGCCACCATTAGGGCAGAATGAAGGAGCTTAGCATTCTAGTGTCACTTTGGAATAGCTGATGGACTGATAGAAAGCATGTCCTATCATATGCATGTAAAAATCTAAACTGGCTGCATTTTAGGTTGAGCATTTTGAGTGGTCAAAGTGGTCAATGTCCAAATGACAGCTACTTTATCAGTTTTTGTACCATGGCCTCAAACTTGCCATCTTTATGGTCCCAATATTCTTTAGCTTTTTTTCCCTAAGCCTTACAGTGAATTTTGCTCAGGTCTTTCTGGTCCCAAGCTGGTAATCTTTGCAGCTTGCTATTCCCAGGTTGTATTGATCTGAATGTTTCTAAAGTGCCTATTGCTGTATAGCCTGCCAGCACGTTGGAGCTGATTCCAGAATCTACCTCCTAATTAACTGAGATGAACAGGTGACTGGTCTCATCTTTGTGGTCTGGGAAATGGTGGGGAGACAGACAGATGGACAGGTCATGCAGATGTGCACACGCATGTGTGGTATGTGAGTGCATACAGCTGCCTCTTTTCCCGTTTTCCTCATCACTGATACCACAGTCACTTTTACAGAGTGGGTTTTAGCTATGGATTCCAGCTCTTCTTTTCTGTTTTGTGTCACCTTCATTTCCATTCCAGGATCACTAATGGCTAGAGGCTTCTAAAATAAGAGTAGAGCTGGCTGCCAACCCCTGGGCCAAAGGCCGAGGGGGCACTGCAGTACTCCTGCCCTGCACTGCCGCTCAGGGCTTCTGTCTCCCCCTGTAGGTGCTGTACCTGGTGGAGAAGGGTGCCGTGATTGAGCACGTGGACCACAGCGGCATGCGGCCCCTGGACAGAGCCATTGGTTGTCGAAACACGTCCGTAGTGGTGACACTACTGAGAAAAGGAGCCAAATTAGGTCAGTGGAGGCCAGCTTAGTTCAGCAGGGAGAGGGAGGTTAGCTTCAGATGTTACAGTACATGAGGGACCGTAAATACCTGCCCCAGGTTAAGAGGTAAATGCCAACTGTTCGGACTTTTTTTTTTTTCTCTAAGGCTCATTTAACCACAGTCATCCTAAATAAGTAATTCATAATATTATTGATGATGTGGGTAGAATGAGTAACCAGTTGCCCCAAGTCTATTCCGACTCATGGTGACCCCATGTGTGTCAGAATAGAATTGCACTCCATAGGATTTTCAATGACTGATTTTTTTTGGAAACAGATCACCAGGCCTTTCTTCCAAAGTGCCTCTGAGTGGACTTGAACTGCCAACCTTTTGTTTAGCAGCTGAGCACGTTCATAGTTTGTACCACCCAGGGATTCTATGGGGGTAGAAAGCAGAGGCTAATGTTGAAGGGAGTCTAGAGCTGCAGGGTGTTAGGAATGCACACCCTGGAACAATTAAACTCGACTCTGTGGGGTGGGACCCGAGCATCAGTAGTTATTAAAGTCCACTGGGTGATACTAACGAGCTAAGGTTGCGATCCACTGTTCTAGAGTCATCATCGTGAGCTGAGTAGGCAAATTGCAACCCCAGCACAGTTTATACAAGGGAAAGAAAGGTCATATGATCTAATGGAGACAAGATGGGGTTACTTGAGGATAATGTATGTGGGGCTTCTGAGTATGGAGAGCCCCTTCTTTGTGGCTGGTTGGAGCATAAACCACCATTCAGAATGTGTTGAGGAACGAGCAACTAGAGAGTCACTGTTCTGGTTTGAAATGCAAGACGTTTGACCACAATAGTTCTGGGAAGGGGACTGTGATGAAGAGGATGATATTAGCTAATATTATTGAGCAGTAACAGTGTCTGGAACTATCCTGAGCATGTTCACATATTAACTTATTTAATGCTTACCCCAACCCCGTAAGTAGTAGTGATGATATTGTCATTTTACAGAGGAGAAAACCAAGGCACAGAGAAGTTAAATGGTTTCCCCAAAGTCATATAGTTAGTAAGTGGCAGAGTCAGGGTCTTAACTAAAGCGGTCTGACTACTGAGTCCATGCTGTTAAACACTACCCCACACAGTGTCCCAAGGATTGAGCAGAAGCCGTGATGTAGGCTAGGAGAGAGGAGGTGGACATGGACATGAGCAAGGAGGCCTAGAGCCTGAGCAGTGGGAAGAGAGCCTAAGAGCCAGAGCTAAGAAATCTCAAGAGTAGATTTTAATGGTAGAACGCAAAAAGATGCTAAGAACACACAACTCCTTTTGCTGTTGGTGATAATGGGTACTGCAAGAAGCTAATGAGATTATTTCGAAGTTTTATTTAATTGATTTCCCCCAAAATCCCCATTTGCAGGAATGGGTTATGGCTGCTGTGATCGTGCCTTAGATTCCCAAGACTTTATTTATTTGAAGGACAGCAATGGATCTATGCCAGGCACTGTTCCCTCTGGTTCAGCATAAGACAGATTAGAAGCTAAAACGTCTCACAGGTGTCCTGCCCTCTTCCTTCATTATATTGTCTGGAAGCCGGAGAACTGCAAAAACAGTAGTCCTCTGCAGCTGGGTTCTCTGCTGTTGTCATGCTTAGCTTTGGTGGGGCCCCAGAAGAATTGAACTCCTTCTCTCCAAGACCTATGAAGTGCCTCTGAATGCATGTTTATTTTGCAGGAAATGCTGCTTGGGCGATGGCCACTTCCAAACCTGATATTTTGATTATACTTCTACAGAAATTAATGGAGGAAGGAAATGTGATGTACAAAGTAAGTGGTATCGCCCTTTTCTAGGGCTTTGTGACTGTGAGCAACTTATTAGCTTGGTATACAAAGGACATAGCTGTGCTTTTGCAAAGAATACATGTAACTTAGTTTTAAGAGAAGTTCCTTAATGGATGCTAACCTGGCCTTGTGTCCAGGGTTTGTTTACTTAAAGGTAATCTTAAGTATACTATCTTAAAGGTAAAAAGCACTTCTCTTTGTTTGAGGACCGTTATCTCTGATATAATCCTTGAGGCTGTAACTGTGACCTACTGAATGAAATCACGCCATCAAGGCAGAGTCACCTCTAGTTTGATTGGTGCATCACACAGATTTCTTAGCCTTTCATGTTTCCTCTGACAACATTCAGAGTACAGCTTTGTGGCACGTGGTGATGAGACACTTGGGAAAGAGAACATCCAGAAGACATTTCCAGAAGAAAAAAACATTAAGTATCTATAAACTTCTGGAATTTCTAGAGATGTTTTCACTTAGACAGTCAAGTAAATACATGATACTCAGTTACTCAGGAGACTGAGCTAGTTTTGCTTTGTTTCTCTCATTTTCCTTGGGAAATGGAAATACGATTTACAGATCAATTAACTTTAAACTTTTCAAAATAAGACACCAATTAGATCAGAGGTCAGCAAACTCTTTCTGTAAACAACCAGATAGTAAGTATCTTAGGCCACATAGCGTCTCTATCACAACTGCTCAGCCCTGTCATTGTGGCACAAAGCAGCCACAGATAATACATACATAAATGAATGGGTGTGGCTATGTTCCAGTTAGACTTTATTTACGGGAACACGCCGTGGACCAGAACTGGCTATGTGGGCCGTAGTCTGCCAACTCCTGTTTAGATAGATGCTTAGGCTATTTACATAGATGACACTTGATCCAGGTCAGTGGTTAGAATTAAAACTAGATCATGGTGGGGAAAACCCCAAACTAAGTCCTGACCATTTTAGACCTTTCCTCTGTGTAGCTGCTGTACTTGCTATGTTTTAGGCCTCCCCCCCACTTTTTTTTTTAATAATAACAAATAAATAGGCATATAGCATGACCCAGCAGGGTTCCTGACTTGGAATTGGTTTGAAATTGAGTTCAGTGTGTGTGTTGTTGTGTCTTTGAAGTTGTTTTAATATGAATTTTGGTAGGCAATTATGTCAGAAATATTAAGCCATTTTCATTCCTGCTGTGTGATGGAACTGACTGAGCAAATGGATTTCTTTAGCCTTGAAAATGTGTGGGGCTGTTCTGGTTTTTAAAGCCAGAGCTTTAGCTCCTCCTAAAATAGAAATTACTATTCTACAGCAAGCTCTAGGTTTATCCTCAAGACTCTACTTGCCTTAGAAACTGCATCATTTTTTAATCTGATTTCTTTCACACTTAGCATTAAATTATCTTTAGATGAGAGATCATTCATGAAATAATTTTCAAAAAATATATAACCAGAGAAGATAAGTTGCTGCATTAAGACAGATATCAGTTTGGCAATTTACAAACACCTTCTTGTAAAACCATCTCACTTGTTACTGTGTGTAACATGTTGTAGATGCATGTGAGGACAAGTGTGAGAGTGTACCAGTTCTTAGGCTAGCACTTACTCATGTGGATACTTCCAGTATGCTGTAATGGCTTTGTGTGTGGGAATAACCTCCCAGGGTCCTCAGGGGGTGGAGCTTACTCATCCTGGAGCCTCTGAAAAAGGATAAGGTTCTGTGATTTTGAATCCTAGAAAGGGAAGATGAAAGAAGCAGCCCAGAGGTACCAGTATGCCTTAAGGAAGTTTCCTCGAGAAGGATTCGGAGAGGACATGAGACCATTCAATGAATTAAGAGTCTCCCTGTATCTCAATTTGTCTCGCTGCCGAAGAAAAACAAATGTAAGCAGTGCCCCATCTTTCCATCCCAGTCCTTTAGCAATAGAATGTTTTCTTGGTGGTGAATGCCAGCCCTCCCACAGATCGAATCATGTGGCCTCTCATTTGTTTGCACATTTATATGAACGTGGCATATCGGAAGCTGCTTCTCTTGGAAGATCATCGTTTGATCATTGTCAGTAGCCACGTCTCAAGATGTTGAAAGAATGCGCTTAGGTATCGTTTCCTCTGCCTCAATGATGAGAAGTAAATGCAAACTATTCCTCTACCCGCTCCTAATCCTATAGTGCCAGCATTGTCATGAGTTGACCGTCCCCAGATTGAGAAGAAAAGGGCATCATTAATGACTGTTATAAACTGTCTTGTGTTTATGTTCGCTCAGAGGATATGCCAGTGACTAGTTAATATAGATTTGTCTCAGTACTCCTTCCTCCCTCCCTTCTTTCTTACTGTCCTTTTCCCCCTCCTCCTCCTCCCCTCTCTCTTCATTATCTTCCTCCTCCTCCACCTCCTTTTACTTCACCCTCCCACCACCAAATCTATTGGTCTGTCTGTGTTGGTCCCAACATATTCTGCCTTCTTTCCTATTCCAGTGGGTGAAGCACCTGTGCTCCTCCCTGAGGCTAACCCTCCACTGGTGTGCTAGATTCCATCCCCTCTTGCCCTCTGGTGGACTGCTGTTATCACCATTCTTTCTCTTCTCAATCATCCATTTTTGTTTCTCTACTGGATCCTTCTCTTAAGAATCTTAATGAGCTGTAATTCTCTCTTATCTTTAAACGAAAAAAACAAAAACCCCAAAAGACTGAACTTGCCCCTTCACCCTTCTCCAGTTATGTCCCAAGTGTCTGCTGCCCTTTAGAACAAAATGCCTGTTAAAAAACTCTATGATCATGTTTCAGTACGTCTTTTAACTCATGTATTTAAATACTGACACCAGGACTTTGGCATGGCAGAAGAATTCGCGTCCAAGGCTCTTGAATTGAAACCCAAGTCCTATGAAGCCTATTATGCCAGGGCAAGAGCCAAAAGAAATAGCAGGTACTGATAACTATTCCTCTTCCCCACTCAGTTGAGACTTATTGCAACATAAAATGCCTAAATTAGTCTATATTATCAGTGAAAGTGCCAACTAGAGACATTAAGAGGAGGTGGAGGGGAAGGGGAGAGTTGTCTAAGAATTTTGAGCTAGAGGGGAACACAGTGAGGGGATGGTGAAGATAATGGACGAGGATTCTGAGGCCAGTGATATATGTGTATAAAGAGCCCAGTGCTCTTTGTGGAGGGAGCAGGGGCAACCAGATGTGAGTCACTCAGACCTGGGTTAGAATTCAACAGTGCCACTTAGGCTGAGTGGCTCCAGGCTAGTTAAATGGGTCCTGGCTCTACGGGAAGTGTTCGTAAGTCCCTCAGTTACCTTCCCTCTCCTGTTAGCACAGTTATTTTATGAATAGTTGCCATCAAAGCATGTTCGTACATGACTTGTAATTACTCTTTGTTTTAATATAAAGGCAATTTGTGGCAGCTCTGGCTGATTTGCGGGAAGCTGTGAAACTGTGTCCCACCAATCAGGAAATCAGGAGGCTTCTGGCCCGTGTAGAAGAGGAGTGCAAGCAGCTCCAGAGGAGCCAGCAGCTAAAACAGCAGTGCCCCCCACCAGCCCCACCCAATGATTCAGATAATGAAGAGGATGCCTCTGCCCCAGGATTAAACGACCACTTTCATCTTGAAGAGGCCAAAGAGGAAGAAACTTCTCCACAGGAAGAATCCACTTCCCTGACTCCAAGGCCCCAGCCATCCTCATCTGTCCCCTCCCCATATATCCGAACCCTTCAAGAAGGCCTACAGTCCAAAGTAAGGCCCACATCACCACAGAATAGGCCAGCAATCAGCAAGCCCCTGAGGGAGCCTGTCGCTCAGCCAGGGTTGATTATGCAACCCACCAAACAAGCACAGATAGTGAAAACCAACCAGCATCTGGGTTCTGGACAGTCTGGCATAAGAAATGGGAGCACAAAAATTCAGGTCCCTTCTCAGAATCCTCCCCCAAGTCCCATGCCGGGTAGAATCCCTGCAACTCCTGCTGGTAACAAAACCCAGCATTTAGAGGGAACAAGTACTTTCACTGTGGGAGCCAGCTCTGGCCCTTTTGGGGATAGGCTAGGCCCTGGCCACAATGTCCAGCTGCAGCGCAACGAGAGTGGTACCGCGTACCCTTTGCCAAGCAAGATAAAAACTGCAGAGAGGCTTCTGTCTCATGCCTCTGTGGCCGTGGATGTAGCCCCTCCAAACCAAGGCGGGCCAGCGAGCTGCAGTGACATGCGACACCCAGCTTCCCTCGCCAGTTCAGGCTCTTCTGGTTCTCCATCTAGCAGCATAAAGATGTCAAGTTCAACCAGTAGTCTGACTTCAAGCAGCAGCTTTTCAGATGGGTTCAAGGTGCAAGGACCAGATACTCGAATTAAAGACAAGGTTGTTAGCCAGGTTCAGAGCGGTACAGGTGAGCACAGACCACGGAATACTCCGTTCATGGGCATCATGGATAAGACTGCAAGGTTCCAGCAGCAGAGCAATCCTCCAAACCGCACCTGGCACTGTCAAGTGGCAGAGGGGCTACTGACAAACACATCTTCTGCAGCTGGCCTGCAGTCCACAAACTCTGAGAAGCTCTCTCGCAAACAAGTAGGGGGGTATAATAAAGCCAAAATCTGTTCTGCTTCTACCGTTGGTGGAAGTGTCCACAATGGGGCACAGGTGAAGGAACTAGAAGAAAAGAAGTGCCAAATTCCAGTCCACTGTCAAGATAGCAGGGTAACTAAGACTGTTTCTCATCTGTATCAAGAAAGTATCTCTAAACAGCAGCCTCCTATCAGCAGTGAAGCCCACAGGAGTCACCTCACTTCAGCAAAACCAAAGAGATCATTCATAGAGTCAAATGTGTAAGCCTTAAGAGGGATTCATTTACAAAATTTGGAAAACTGTGTGTTGGCTTCTGGTGGTAAATAATAATTAAATGGTTTTTTATCAGGAAAATTTAATTTTTAGCCATTTTTTTTTCCCTTTGGGGTGGATCTGATACCACTGATATACTGAAAATATGGGATAAAATGTCTTTAATAGCCACAAGTCACCATAGATAAGAATGCTAACCAGAATCAAAAAGATTAGTATCAACTACAATTATCTATGCCTATCAAGTTAAAAACTAAAGATAGCCAAGAAGACATTAACTCATGCTTTTCTCTTATGAAACTATTTGGTTTTTATCACTCTCCTCTTAGCTTCACTATGTGGTAAAATAATATTTACTTACAGAATATAAATATCTATTGCTAAGGAATGATAGGTTTAGCTCATAACTTACAGATGATGTCTTCTGGAAAGCGTGGAATTTTTAGGTTACAGTTCCATTGAGTTAAAAATCCCAATATATATTTGAATTAAGACCGGATTTCCAGCTGAATATAAGTGACTATAAAAGTAATATAGCTTGTATTTTTCTTTTTAAAGCAAAATATGAGAATACCCAAATATTTTTCCTTACATAGCAGTTCTCTTGAGGATTAAACACTAATTTCAGTGTTGTGGTTGTTATTCAAAATATTTTTATAGCACCTTTTTGGAAATATATTCATCCCTTAAGGTGTTTTTGATATTTGGAAACAGTGTAAGACATTTGGAATCAAGACTGGATTTGGTGGTCAAGTTGGATTTGGACAAAATACTAAGTCCAGCAATTCTTAGTGGCACTTGTAAGTTAGCTCTCAACTGGTTCCAAAACTACTTTTCACAATGATAACACTCCTGGAACAAGCCTTGCAACGTCTTTTAAGGGTGATATTTAATTTGGATACTTGAGGTATGCTTGGTTGTTACTTTTGTTGTACCATCTCATTACTTTATAGTCACATGTTGTACATATTAAATAACCAAGTTTTATTCTGACTTGTAAATATAACTGTTTCAAAGTAGTTAATCTAAAAAAAAAAAAAAAATCCAGTCTTATATTTGCATGTTGTTTGTAAGCTTCATCCATCCATGCTGGTTATTGCACTGAAAATATATTATTACAGCATGTTAACAGTATACCAGTAACGGCACTTTATTGCATTTATATGAACACCTTTGAGGTGCTACTTAAGTCCCAGCTCTGATGTATTATTCATTTGTAAAGATAAGGTACAGGAATGAACCTTGGCTTAAAGGTATTTTTATATGAAAATGGTGTGTTATTGGAGAATGTTAAGATGCTAGTTTGAGAGATGAGAGTGTACTTGTTTTATACGTTGAGATGTGAGATTTATTTTCTAGAGTTGGGGAGAAGGAAGTTCTATATTTACAGAATGTTTTGAAAATGAATAGTTGTAACGAAGTTCCTGGGAGTATCATTAGTGTTTTGTACAAGTAGGAATCTTCTGGTGTCATTCTTCAACATTTGTTCCTGAGTGTGTACAGTGTACTTTGTACAAACAGCTTTATCATTTTCTATAAGCTTTCCATGAGTTCTGCATATAACTACTATGGCTTATTTATTTAGTATTCGTGAAAGTCTTCTTTTGTTATGTAGTTTTTCTGCACAACTACTGTACTTTTCCATATGGAATAAAGACTGTTAATAGAATTTGTTTTGCATTAAATGAAACAATGGGTAAAGCAGCGAATACCCTGATAGAACCATCTGCTTTGCTTTAATTCTGAGTGATCCTGTTACCCTAAAGAAAACAGTGAAATGCGTATTTTTATAGTAATACTACCAGATGACTACGTCATGTTATTATATAATAATTTCGGGACAAGGGTGACAGTGTTTGGAAATTCCAAAACAGTCAAAGGTCAAATTAATCTTTTTGTCTGAAACAAGTTTTTCATGAAGAAAGGCAATCTATACTTTTTTAAAATCTGTTCCAAGAAATTCTGGAGTTTGTTTTTGCAACTCTCAAACACTTTGTCAATATACTGAACTCAGTGTTAATATGACAGGTTACTCTTTAGCACATTTTTATGTTTCAGCTAAAAGTGTGTATTTGTCTTTATACCAACATATTTCAGTTTCAAAGAATTGTGCTCAACTACTAACCTAAAGGCTGGCAGTTCAAACCTATCCAGCAGCGCTATGGAGGGAAGGCCTGGCGATGTGCTTCCATGAAGATTACAGCCAAGAAAATCCTTTGGAGCAGTTCTACTCTTTGGGGTCACCATGAGTTGGAATCAACTTGACAGCAGTGGGTTTGGTTTTATGAATGAGAGTGAGCATTAAACTATGTTGTATTGGGATAAAATTCTGATTTAGAATCTTAGGTCTAAGTATTCCCTAATACTGGGGAAAAAAAAAAAAAAAACCATTGCCATTGAGTTGATTCTGACTCATAGTGACCATACAGGACAGAGTAGAACTGCCCCATAGGATTTCGAAGGCCATAATCTTTATGGGGAGGCTTGATGGTGCAGTGGTTAAGAGCTCAGCTGCTAACCAGAAGGTTAGCAGTTCGAATCCACCAGCTGCTCCTTGGAAACCCTATGGGGCAGTTCTACTCTGTCCTGTAGGGTTGCTATGAGTTTGGAATCGACTCGATGACAACTGGTTTTTGTTTTTTGTTTTTAATCTTTATGGAAGCAGATTGCCACGTCTTTCTCCTGCAGAGCAGCTGGGGGGTTTGAACTGCCAAGCTTTCGGTTAGCAGCCAAGCGCTTAACCAGCTGCCACACCACGGCTCCTTTTCACTGATACTACTTCAGGTTATTGTCTGGTTACTACTATTACTAGCAAAGCTGTAAGGAAAATATTTTCAATCCTTCTTTAAAGCTATACATTTACAGGTTAAATATATAAAAAAAAAAACTCAGCAGGAAGGGAAAAAGTGTTGGTGGCTAATAGTTAATTTTTGTCATTAGATGACTCTTCCTCAGACACAACCGGTATGACGATTAGAATTTATTACGCACTAAATTATGATTTTGATATATTCTTAGTAAAGGTATTTTCTCCAATGACGGGCTTTATAAATTAAAAAAAAAACTTGTTAGAATTATGTTAGCATTCTTTCTCCATGGAACACAATAGAAAAATACTTTCTACAACAGTGATTTTTAACTTTTTTTGTCCTCATAAGAATGTGACATACATGTGTAGCCTGAAAAACAGTTTCTGTTCTTGAATCACAGGCTGGGAATGTTAGGTGTAACACAAAGGAAATTAAGTTCAATAATACATTACATTGACAAATTGTAAATTGTATTTGGAGATTTCTGTGGTAGCTATGCTTTCCATCTTTCTGCTCTAAGTTTACTAACTATAGGAAAAGGCTGACTAAATATTTACAATGCTACTTCCCTTTTATTTCTGAGGAAGGCAACTATAGGGAGGAAGGCTTTAAGGATCCTAAGGTTTGACAAGTTTAGATTTACTAAGTGATACGTATTCAACAAATGTGTGAGCACCCATTCTGTGCTGGGTGCTGCATTAGACCATGGGTGACCAGGTACAGTGAGCCTTGGTCCCTCCATCCTTTAGTTCTAACAGACTTTCACATTATTAGTGTCTATTACGGTAAATTATGGAGGGTATGTTAGAAGTCAGTACAACCTCAGTTTCCTAACTTGAAGTTCTCTTCCAAGTGAACGCTTGTCAGGGTGTTGTATTAGGTTACTGTATATAAATGCTTTTGTACAGTCTCTAGCTTTGGGTAATACATGAGAACTTTAAGAATTCTATAAAGGAGGGTAGTTTGCCACTTCATCTAGTTCAGCAAAGTTAACCTAACTTATGCATGATCATTTATTCCATATAATTTGTACCTAGGGATAGATAAAGGGGAAAAAAAAAAAAAATACCACCATGCAAATTTGTTTCTTAAACAACTCTACAATTATTTTGCTACAAATTAGATTCTCTTTAGAAGGATTCCAAGGAGTTATCAAATTAATGTCTTACTAACTCTGTAAGATTATTACAATCTTTGGTTGTAATGGGATACAACAACTTGTATCTAACGAGTAAGTCTGGGCATTAAAATTTAAAGTCAAAGTATAACTTTATTTCTATACAGCTTATGGACTTTTTCCACTAGTACAGAATGAAAATTGGTAACAGTTTTTATACTTAAAAATATTACCTCCTTCTGTTTTGCTCTTTTAATAATATCTGATTAATATTTACCTTTAAATTTGTTCAAATGAGATCATGGAAAAATATAAACAGTATAATGTGTAAACAATTTTATTTTTGATGTGTCTCTAGCCACCGATCAATGGCCATTTTCAGAGTCCTATTTGGTGTAAGTACCACTGAAGGAAGAATAAGATTTGTCATAGGACTTGTACGTTTCTTTTTACCGATCCAGTTTTCTATTGCTTCCTTTTCATATGAATAGCCATCTAAAAAAAAAAAAAAAAAGCCACACAGATTATGAGATGTAGGAAAGAAAAGTTTGAGTATAAAAACTTCATTGGCAAGGCCTGTATTGTGCTTTAAAGTGGCACTGTCTTGTACCCCTCCCCACCTAAAAAAAAAAAAACCCACTGCTACTGAATCAATGCTGACTCATAGTGATCCTACAGGACAGCAGAACTGCCCCATAAGGTTTCCAAAGCTGTAAATCTTTATGGAAGCAAGCTGCAACATCTTTGTCCCACTAAGCAGCTGGTGGTTTCAAACTGCCGACCTTTTGGTTAACAACCAAGCTAGCCACTGCACCACCAGGGCTCCTCTGTCTTTGTACCAGTACTACCAAAACAGCCCACAATAGCTGAAATTCTACCATTTGAGACACATTAAGATTGGATTGTGCCTTGTGAAACACAAATTACCTAGAACAATGTCACTATAAAACTCTTAATGCTGTATGCATTTCCTTTTGAACACTACAGTGGAGACCAGGACCCTGTCAAAAATTTAGATGTAGTGGAGGGAAAGAAAGGAAGAGAGCTGGGTAGAGAGATACTGAAGATAAACTGGTTCTTTAATAGCTGTTAGAGGGGGAAAAAAAGCCTTAGGAATCACTTAGCAAAACTTTGCAACACTTATATAAAAGAGAAACAGATACTGAGGGATTATAGAACTTGCCCAAGTGAGGACTTCATTATGGTAAAGGGCTTTATGATTGGGGGGGGG